AATAATCATATTTTATATATATTTTGTTTTTTGATTTCTCTATTCGCATTTCTAACAGTTCAATAAAATAAAATTTTATTCGATAGGGATGATCAAATGAGTCGCGGAACGAAAAGGAAAGCAGATGTTGATATTAACTCTACGGACATCAAAACAATAAAATCTGGATCTAACATGGATCTTTCACGGTCTTCACAAGAGCCATCAACATCGAATGAAGGTAATAATTCTAACACGAAATTTTGCACGAAAATACAACATTCAATAAAACCCAATGTTAAGATAATTGAGACTGCGTTCGGTAATAGAATAATAACCTATAGAGTAACTTCAAAAAATCAAAATGATTTACAGTTTGAGACACCAGATTTATTTCTTGCTTCAATTAAAGATACAATACTAACATTCATAAATAAATCTATAGAATATCACACAAGTTTAAAAATAAATTTTATTTTATTTGGTGACTTTGTTCAGGAGACAAAAAACATAAACAACACTTTTGATTTCCAATCTATAAATTTTATTGTTTGTACTGGTGATGATTTAAATATATTTTATACAACACTCACGAATTCTCTAATTAACTATATAAGTTCATTCGAGAGAAGAGATAGTGGGTGGAGTCTGAACAAAATTTTATATTTGGATATGAATTTAAATCAATTTAACCCTTTAAGAGGAAAATCCTTTATTGAGTTACCACATGATATAAAAATAAAAAAAGCTGTGATAAATGTTAAAAACACTGATGACGCCTGTTTTAAGTGGGCACTTTTATCTGCTTTATTTCCAATACATAAAAATTCGGATAGAGTATCATCGTACACCAAACACAATCATAAATTAAAGTTCGGTGACATTAAATTTCCAGTTAAATTAAACGATATACACAAAATTGAAAATCTTAATAATATTAGCATTAATGTTTTTGGGTTAGAATATAATGAACAAAGAAAAAAACATTGTATTGTGGGGCCATTGTATTTTACAAAGAATAAAATGCAGACTCATATAAATTTATTATATTTGACACAGGGTAAAATCGGTCATTATTGTTATATAAAAAATATGTCACGATTAATAAGTAGTCAAGTTTCGAAATCCAAAGAAGCTATATATCTATGTGACTTTTGTTTACAATATTTTTCAACATCTGAACGTTTAAATAACCATCGAAAAAATGATTGCAGCCATATTTGTACACAATTACCAAGCGTAGATAAAAATAAAAAAAATTGGTGGGGTGATAACGTATCTGAAAGTATGTTAAGTTTTGATAAATTTCATCGCAAATTGATGTTACCTTTTGTTATATATGCGGATTTTGAGGCTTTTTTAAGTCCTGTAGCATCATATTCAAACGATCCTTCAAAATCACATACGATAAATGTACAAAAACATAATGTATATAGTTTTGGATACTACATTAAATGCTCATACGATGATAAATTGTCTAAATATGTAACATATACTGGTGAAAATTGTGCTTTAAAATTTATGGAATCGCTGAAAGATAATCTGCAAACAATTGTTAAAAAAATTGGTTTCCAAAAAGTCCCTAATAAAATATCACCAATAGAGCAAGATATAGTTAGCAAATCTACACATTGTTATATTTGTAATAAAGTTTTGTGTGGGGATTCAATGATTTATCACGATTGGTTTACTGGGAAATTTGTTGGTGTCACACATAAACTTTGTTCAGAAAAATTTAGAGTGCCTTACACTATACCAGTCTTCTTGCACAATTTAAGCCATTATGCACATTTTATCGTACACGCCTTAAACTTTGATGAAGGTCGGGTAGAAGTTCTCCCGCAAAATAAAGAAAAATACATATCATTTTCAAAGTTACTTAAAATCAATAACAGTAATGTATCTTTACGTTTTGTGGATTCTCTAAAATTTTTACCCAGTAGCTTAGATACTTTAGCGAAAAACTTAAACAATAATAGTTTTAAAGAATTATCAAAATGCTTTCCCAATTCAGAAGACTTTAAACGGCTGACTAAAAAAGGTGTATTTCCATATGAATTCATTAAAGATTTTGATACATTAAACTACAATCAACTTCCAGATCTTCCGCACTTTTACAGTACTCTTACAGATTCCATTATTTCTAATGAAGATTACAACCATGCCAAAGATGTTTGGAATCATTTCAATTGTAAAAATATGTTGGATTACTCAAATCTTTATTTAAAAACGGATGTTTTATTGTTAGCAGATATTTTTGAAAATTTTAGATGTGTTTGCATTAAAACATACGATTTAGATCCGGCTCATTACTTTACAGCACCTGGATTAAGTTGGGATGCTATGTTAAAACATACTAAAACAGAAATAGAATTACTTACTGATATAGATAAGATTGCCTTTATTAAATCAGGAATTCGTGGTGGTGTTTCGCAATGTAGCACTCGCTATGCAAAAGCAAATAATGTTTACATGTCTGACTATAATGCGAAAGATAAAGAGTCATTCTTAATGTATTTCGATGCCAATAATCTATATGGTTGGGCAATGTCACAATATCTACCTACAGGTGGTTTTGAGTGGGTTAGTGCTGATACAGATTTTAATGTTAGTTGTTCATCAGATATAGGTTTTATCTTAGAAGTAGATCTGGAGTATCCGGTGGATTTACATGATAAACATTCAGATTTACCTCTTTGTCCCGAAAATATACCTGTTGGGGACGCTAAGGAAATTAGATTGATTCCAAACTTAAAAAATAAATCCAAATATATTATTCACTATCGAAATTTAATTCAATGTTTGAAAATGGGATTAAAATTATTAAAAGTTTATAGAATATTACAATTTAAGCAGAGTCCATGGTTAAAGAAATATATAGACCTTAATACACAATTGAGAACCCGAGCTAATTCTGATTTTGAGAAAGATTTCTATAAACTCATGAACAACGCTGTTTTTGGTAAGACTATGGAAAATATTGAGAAACGTGTAAACGTTAAACTATTAACCCACTGGGAAAATAGGGGCAAAGTATTGGGAGCTGGAGATTTAATTGCTAAACCACATTTTCACAGTGTTTCAATATTTTCTGATAGTCTTGTTGCAATTCAATTAAACAAAGTGAAGTTAATTTATAATAAACCTATTTATCTGGGATTTTGTATATTAGATATATCTAAAACGTTGATGTATGATTTCCACTATAATTACATGCAAGAGAAATTTGCTTCTAATCTGAAACTGCTGTACACAGATACCGACAGTCTCATTTATCAAATATTTACTAGTAACTTTTATAATGATATAAAACCAGACATTGGTACATATTTCGATACATCAGATTATGCTGCAAACAATGTTTTTAATTTTCCTAAACTAAATAAGAAAAAAATAGGTTATTTCAAAGATGAAAATTGTGGTAAAATCTTTACAGAATTTGTGTGTTTGCGATCAAAAATGTATGCATTACAGGTAGATGATAAAATTATTACTAAGGCGGAGGGTGTTAATAAGTGTGTCGCGAAAACATTAACGTTAGATAATTATAAGTCATGTTTGTTTAGTAAAAATATTCAATATTGTAAAATGTATCGATTTAAATCATTGAAACATAAAATTTTCACACAAGAAATAAATAAAACATGTTTATCTTTTAATGACACCAAGCGATACATTCTACCAAATAATATAGATACATTACCGCTGGGTCATTATAAACTAATTAGCAATTCTAACTAAAAAAATTATAACTAGATTATTAATAATATCCTAATGAAATTTACTCGTTATTATTTTTTGATAATGTGTTCTGTAATAATTTTAAGACATTGTTTTGTTATTATTATTTAATTTTTTTATTTAGATATTACCTTATTTATATTAAATGTATAAATAAAATGTTTTAAAAAAAATATTCAATTTTATTGGGACACCCAAAGAAAGAGAAGTATAAAAAATGATTCATTTTATTCATCCATTTTCTGCCGTCATAGCAGGTCAAAGTTGTGAAAATAAACTTTTCACAATTCATTAAACACAGGGGTAGTGCATGTAATGATTTTTTTTCTGAAATTACATGATGGTTTGATGAAATGCAACCACTTTATAATTTACCAGACTTGCGATTCAGTAACTCATAAACAATAAACTACAAGGAGGGACCTTATCAGAATGCCAAATCATAAAATGACTGCTTCAGGACTGATTTGAGCGCGACCGCCGCTGCGAAAATCGCTGTGTGGTTCGAAAAGTGAGTTACAGAATCGCAAGGCTGGAGTAAATAGTTATCATAAGTTATCATAAAGGGCTGCCTTATCAAAAAATCCTCATTTGTTAATAATAGATGATTTAATGAGGGATTCTGACGGTAGAGTTGATATATTTACAAAAGGAAGTCAGAAGTGTGTTACCTTTACTCGCTAGATATATTATAGAAATAGATAACAGAAATATATGTGTGGATTATAGTAGTTAAGAAATTACTTTTATGTATTTATAATTAAATTGCGAATAATAAAACAGAATGAAATATAATAAATAACATGGTTTCTCATTTATACTTTCCCTACTTTTCTAAATATATACATATAAGATATTACATATATTGGGATGACAATGGAAGGTATAATACAGCTAGCGTTTAGGATTTCTATTCTGCGTTTTGTGGGGAGTATTGTGATATTTCTACTACAAGGTCTGGGGTTTCAGTTTGGACGATTACCTCAGAAATGTTTCGTATGACTCACCAAGAAATGACATGGCACTAGTAAAGTTGTATTGTAACGTAATGCAAATAAATACATAGAACATGTAAATCATATTTTTAATTTTCAATCAAATCCTTTTTCCATCCATTCCTGGTGCATTTGCCGGTGAATGCAGATGTTAATAAGCTAATGATAGGTACGAAACTGACTCGGTAATTAGCAATTACATCCTTAGTAATTTGGTGCAGGAAGTAGTAGCTGATGAGGTGGTGATAATTAATTAGCTAAGGGTTTGGGAAAGCTATCTCTGAAATGGTTAGAGATATCGCTATCGACTCAGCACGACCTGTTTAGTGGGGAAAGAGTCCAAACTTTTATTTTTCGGCGGGCGCTGCCTCTCGGACAACTTGCCGACCTTAACTACTGCGGCCTTCCAGCTTCACTTGTCACCTTTCGAGCGACTGGTTAAACTAGTCGAGGGACCTATCTTTAGGTCAGATAAAAAGCTTCACAGTGCTAGGTTTCGTCTATGAATCTTACCTTTAAATCCTGAATTCCATTCTTCACCTACAAGTCTGATCTTGTTTTGAAAGAAATATCGTTTTAGTTTATTTTTATAAAACTAAAAGAAAATATGTATCATCTAAATTTCAGCGAACGTATACAGACCACTTAGCTGTCGCAATATATGATGCTCAAAAGGCAGACTCCCTCGGGTCTTCTGCTCATGGTATACTCATGGCTGATGGAGTAGGCGGAGTGTGGGTAGAACATACTGTACCAGATCTTATAAACTTTGAACGTTAGTTTACCACTAATTTTATTCTTTTAAAAGTTTGAGGAATTTCTATTAATAAATTCAAATCGATTTTTCTTAATATTTATTGCTATGTGGACTTAGTTTTATTAGTCTTTGAATATATAGGCGCTGCAACTGTGATAATCTTAATATATATATTTCTTCTGTGCGTGTGTATGTGACTGAACTCCTCCTAAACGACTGGACCGATTTTGATGAATTTTTTTGTGTGTGATCAAGGGGATCTGGGAATGGTTTAGATTCACAAATCAGCCCGGCAGATGGCACTGCAGTCGGTACTTTCATACTTTGCTTAATATCCTAATCGCTTTAAATATCATGCAGGACAACGTCTGTGGGGTCCACTAGTAGTTACATATTAATCCAGCCGCTAGCACAAACCTTCCTTTATCGTGAATGCTATTTGATTTTAATTATTCTTTTGTTTTACGCAATAGTAGGTGTATTTTTCAATAATACTCCTGAGTCCCGATTTCTAACCTATGAACCGTCCAATCTATTCACCTACTTCATTTAATGAAACTAATGACACCACGCCATCGATTTTTGGGTCTAACGCATGCCGGTTTCCGCACATGTTTTCTTTCACCGTACGATCGAGTGTTTGATGCGCACATAGACAGAATGTCTATTCGTGCCCAGAAGAGAAGAATCAAACCTACGATTTCAGATGAGTGTCGCATGCTGAATTCTCATAGGATATGTTATCATACAATTTAATATATTTACGCGGTGTTACAGGCGGTCGTCCATTATTTCCTGACGATGAGAGTCCAAACGGTCATTCGTTTATGTGTATGTCAGTAGATTTAAAAACAATAAACCAAATTGCAAAGTATTTGAAACATACTTCGCCGTATATCAAACATTTCCGCGTACCGAAGCATTTGGTTCGTCTATTACCGGAGTGGGACTTTCATACCCCTATTATGACGTAAGTAGTGAAGAATTGTATTTACTTTTGTGAGGAAATTAAATAAAACGAATCAGTAAAATAGCACTGCAAATATATCTTGACTAGGTAATTTTATTTGACAGTTAAGAAAATAATTAATTTTATTATCCTAACAATTTTGCAAATGAAAGAATATCGCCCACTTAAAATATTCTGCCTTCGCAACATTAAAACATATTTTAATTGTTCTATAACGTGTTTAAAAATAATTAAATAAGCCTTTATGCTGTATTTGTCTAGAGTATTTTTCTATCATTATTTTATATATTATTTAGTACTATTACCACGAATCAGCTTGTCAAACGTTCCCATATTATCCATCTCTATACTATGTATATCATTTAACCCCAGCTAACTTTCTTCCCAACGCCTCGACGATAATTATTTATTTACTTTAACAATCATTAATTGTTTTTGAAGCTATTAATTCTGTTGTACGATTACATTGTCGTTAATTTCATAAAGAAAATGTCTTAATATATCGACACTGAAACACTTTTTATAGGATTGACATATTATGTTTAATCATCACATTTTTTAATTATAAAACAGTCCTTTTGGCTCCGGACTGCCATTTGAATGAATGTTGGTATTTATACTGGGATTCACAGATAGATAAAGGTTTTCTTGGTGAGCTTTTAGAATCCTTCTTAGACCTTCACCTTGTATGGCTATGACACAAATGACATTGTCTTTTTAGTTCGATCCCAGAAAAACCCTTAAAATTCACCACAGAAGACAACACCCTAAAGGCTGAACTTCTTGTTAAACCACCAGAAGATAAACGCTGCTTGTACACATCCTTTGCTCAATCCAAGGGAATATTTCTAGACGTGTATGGACAAACGGATAGTGATTATTTGACAACGATATGTGGGAAACGCTATGGGTATATTTTACAAATATTCAGTATCAAATTTAAGGAAAGTGTGTCACTAGATTTTTTGTAATTAAGATGTGATTTTTTGAATATTTGCTTCTCTAAATTTGCGTTTTATTTAATTAAAAATTAATATTTCATGAATAACATAAAATAAGTTATAAGTTCAGTTCATTATCAATTTCCAGAATTCGCAACATAGAAAACATATCGCTTAAGTTGCCAGAACGCGTCTATTACTTTTATAATATGACCGAACGAATGAGGTTTGCCGTCAGCACGGCAGCGCATTGGCAGAGACTTGGTTCTGGTCCAATTCAATATTGGACTTGTCTGAGTAATTTGGATAAAGAAGACAAGTCAGGGATGGCAGGACATCTGCTCTGCTTCAACAGTTATGAGGTGTGGGTGACGTTTGATAATTTGAAAATAAAGGAGCCGCAATGTTGATTTTTAATAGGTTTTAATATTAAAGTTTTCTATTTATATAAGTTTTATATGTTGTATTACTTTCTTGGAACGATTTCCAAAATAATTAACTTTAAATTGATACTTATTTTAATGATGTTACGTGTTTTATTTATATTTGACGTCTGAGTTAGGTAGTTCCGTCGTCATTGTTAAAAATACTATTTGAATTCCTCAGATAATTAGTTCAAAATAAAATATACAATCTGCAGCCATTAATCATTACGACGATCCTCGACCTTAGCCACTTCAGTCGAGGATCATCCTTTTAGGTAGAAGGAAAAGCATGCACCTTCCTCCAAAAGTTCAGTATAAGGTGTTAAGATTACTGTAAATTTTTAACAGGGGAAAATAGACATAAAAATACAAATATGTATACAACAATTTTATTTACAAAACATTGCTTCAACAAGCGAATGTCATCCAATACATGCATTTATAATTGGAAACCATATACATACATCGATTTCTCTGGACTTGCACAAAGAGCGCAACTTCCTAAAATCTAACTAATTACTGAATACGAGTTACATATTACACTGTCAATCATGACGCACGCAAAATTGATGAAAGGATACAATGCCCTAGTTTCGCGTTACAGTTATTATCCCACATAACTTTTGTATGAGATTTTTAATATAGCAAAACATAGATTTTTAAATAAAAGAATAAGCTGTGCATTTGTTAAAACTCCAATGCGAAATCACTATACGCTGCGTTGAGATGGATATGTCACGGCGCAGTGTGAGTTTGTAAGTGAATTCCATAATTACTAAGTGAAGTCAATCAATTGGACTTGAGCCTACACACATAATGGCCAGTAAGGTTGGTTACAATGACTTTATAAATTGGGGCCTCCTTTGAAAAATGGAGAGTCAAATTTCACATATCCGAATTCTTTCGGTAGAGGCTACAAAATTATACTTCTTGGTATTGGTTTAATAATTGTCGTTTGTCAATACAATTAGATGAAATTTATTATAAGGAAAATATTGTGCAGGATGTTAATCTTAAAAAAGTAACCATACAATGTATAATGAATTACGTACAATATCAAATTCATACAGGTCGGTGATTAATAATAAATTGATAATCTATTATAAATTAGATTAATTATGTACGATATACTGTTAGATAGCCGTAATTTGTGACTTAAGACTTATATCGTTTACAGATATTATACTATATCCTTTATATGTCATAAAGTTGTATTGGCTGTCCCTCGGACTAGTCGTTAAAGATCCCGATTTTAATTTTAGATATGATTTTGAATCTTATAAATATTTTGGTATCGTTAAATACGTTAGGCATAACCAATAATTTGAATCATGCGACTCTTAAAGATGGCATTCTTGTGAACCAAGAGTCTTGCTTCATCTTAAGGTAGTACGCGTCCCTGGGGGATGGACAAGTCAGGGCTTCCTCTAACACCTTGAGGGCGTTCGTAGGAAGGACTTTAGCGCTGTACTCCGCGGCCTCTCCAGGCATAGTCACCGCGCATGTTGAAGAACTTACGTCAGAGCTCGGAGTATCTGGTCGGCTAAAAAGATTTAAAGTATAATAATAAAAAAAAAGTGCGTGCGTACAAAGTACATATGTTAGAAGTTTAACTTCTTTAGGCGCATGAGGGTAATTTTTTTACGGATGAAACGCAATATTAATTGCGGCGTTTTTGTCGAAGAAAAGGGAAAGAGCGATTGAGACCGATTGAGAGAGAATTACCTCATAGAAATTCTATTTTTAAAATTAAAATTTCGTAAAGGTAAAATTATATTGGGTACAATAAGTGAAGGTATAACATATTAACAAATACCTAAATAACTCACATTTCTAAATCAAATAAAATCTTTCTAAATTTTGGGTATGATTGGTAACAGTTAATATTATAAATAAAAACATACCTGGCTGGCTGACTTGCTGGCGTCAATTGCACTGGAGGCGAATACAGCTCAGCTGAAGACAAATCCGGTGTATGCAAGAGTACAACGTGGAGCCTGCGCGCACGAAGAGAGGCCCGAAGCGCACGCGCAGCGCCCCAAGTGCCCCAACGTACAGCAGCTGCCCCTGCACTACTTTCACCCTCGCCATCCATTCGCGCTAGACTTTCGCATGCCGTATCTGATGTTAGACCTGAAAAATATTCGATTAAATTAACATAGATTCGTTATTAGAAAATATTTTAGTGAAAGTGGTGTATTTATTAATTATTAATCAACGTATGAAGCAATTTTCACACTCTGCATTCTTGCTTTAAGGTCCTCTCTCGGAATGTTTCATTTGAGTACTCTAAAAAATATATTCAAATTGAAACCCCTATTAGATATGAGATAATTTATTTTCTTTACCTATATAAAACAATCGGCCAGCGTAAGGATGATCTGATGCAGCAGCGGCCAATAAAGGTGCGAAGGTCCTAGCCACCCGTAAAGCACCAAGTACGTTTCCCTTAAGCGCCGTTTCCCAGCAAGCAGCGCCACCACGACCGCTACTTCCAGCTGTGTTGATCACTGCCCATACGCCTGCACGATACGAAGTATGCTAGCTTTAATTCAATTTTGGTACGTCCAATTACAACAATTCAATATAAACTCAATTTACGTTCAAAGGTCGATTTCAGTTAATTAAATGAAATTTAATTGTCTCACGTATTCTGTATACTTGTGTAAATCAATTCATTCTTTAAAACCGATCGGCAAAAGAGTAAGAAGTGGTCGGCAAAAAAGACAAGGTATTTTTACTTCTTTTAATGCTCACCCTCACCGTTCTGGTGATGTGAAAGCGTAGACGCGAGAAGTTTGGATCCTTTCGATCTCTTTAGCTTTTTGCAAAAGGTTTATAATATGTAATAGCGCCAAAAAAAGTACACTAAAATGACATTTATTATTGAAGACTATTACTGAGGCTTTGAGTTTAACGCCATCTATCGGAATTTACTTAACCGTTAGCAACTATACGCAGTGCTTAATATTTTTAATATTCTCAAAAGATGGCGCTCAATAAGATTAAAATATTTAAAAATCTTGCAAGTTTAAATTATTTAATAAACATATTACATATGATTATATTATTAGTAGACATTACATAAACATTATTTTCCATGCCACTGGGCACTTCTAGTGCATTATGCAAGATTCCGATTCTTGCGATTCGGGTTCGATTCTCGGCTATTGCAAACTATTTAAGAATAAAATTTTAGAAGTCAAGTTTTTCCAAGCAAATGCGGAAGCACAAATTAAGTCATACCATGTTCACCAGCCGGCAAATGCTGAGCTGTAGCTCTCGCAGCTTCCTCCAATAAATCTTCCCTGGCTACATCCAACTCTAAGGTAACTAATCGTGGTGTGGGCTGGTTTTCGGGGGTATTGTTCTGCAGCCAGGACTCCGCCAGACGAGATCCGAGGCCTCCAGGGCGACAGCCAGCGATTACTCGCCAGCCACGACTACTTAGGTATGTTGCTATCTAAAACATACAAAAATATTCATGCATGCAATTATTTTTCTTTAGAATTTTTTCTTCCAAATAATCCTGGCAATCATATGTGGTAGTCAAAGCGCTAACAACAGCCTTGACGTGCGTTACCTAAGATGGAAAACCATGACGATACCACGAGAGTGTACGGAAGACATTGGTAGTGCTAAGTCCAGTTTCTGAATCTCACTAAACATGTATTTTCATATAATACAGTCATAATAAGTAAGTTTTTTCATATAATACAGAATCGTAAAAAAATAAAATCTTTAAATTAAAAGTTATCGCTTTAGAATCTCTTAACGTTTTTTATTGAGTTGGTTATTCAAATCATACCTGCAACCCCAATGCTGAATCCACAGAGGTCACAAGTACAGTCTTGGCACTTGCAACAGGTAAAACTTCAGCGACCTTCACCTTCCTCAGCAAATAAAGAAGTAAAGCACCGACGATGGAGCATAATGCTGCCAATTGCAGCCCGAGCGACAACCAGGTTAGCGTATCCATTACTTGTGCATTTTATCTGTAACAAGAAGTTTCAAGTTCAGTAAAAATCTTGTATCATTTATATAACATTTGTTAAAATTTAATATGTTATAATTCTATCCGGTAATAACTTCAATCCGGTAAAAAAGTGTATTATTTAAATTCTATGTTTTTTTTAATTTGAGAATTAATCTGTAAATTTGATATTGATATAATAGTGTTTAATTACCAACGATTAATTTTAGCGGTATTGTTTTAGTTTATTATTTAAGTGAGAATGTTGGTTGCTTATAATAAATATTATATTTAAAGACTTCCCTATTACAAGTGGCTTACGCTTAATATTAGTCTGTATCACGGAATGCATGTACATAAATTATTATTCTTATGTATTCATATCAGCGCCGCAACAAGATGCAATCGAAACTAAACCAAAATTGTAAAAAAAAATTACCAATTAGATAGATACTTTTGCAGCACGATACAATGTAATGCAACGCGCACTACCTCGCAAACTTTCAATAGCACTGACTGTTTGACATGGGATTTATGATGTTTGTCAACAAACCCGGCTGACGGCGGATGCGATTAGTAAACAAAGATCACAATGGTCATTCAATAGGTATTTACAATGTCTGCTGATAGCTATATTAAGGCCCCGACTCGTTACTTACAACATTGTTTTTTTGTAACAAAATACATTTTAGACAATTTCTACAACTTTTTACCTGGTGCTAAGTAGAGTACTATTTGTAGTCCGTATAAAATGTAAGTAGCAGATTAAAGGTATTTTCGTAAGTATTTTTAACTATCTGGGGACCAACATAAAACAATGTTAGGTATGGTCTAACGCAAGGACGACAAACATATATATAGACGCATTATATGTCTATGCGTTTCGCCCTACAATAAAAAATACAAATACAATTACCTTAGAGAAGATAGAGTGAGGTCGATCGAATTGAGGTACGATTTAAGACGAAACTTCTACAAGTAACAAAAAGTTTTTATCTTGCCTATAAAGAATCCGTGAAACAGTCGTCACTTTATATAATTAAAATCGCAAATATAAAATAAAGAATTAAAACCGTTATTGAAGGAAAACTAATGTTTACGCTCTATTAAGTTTGCGTTTTCTTGTAATTTAATAACGCAAGATATTAAAAAGAAATTGCCGTGCACCAATGAAATCTGGGTTAATCATTATTAATAACTATATAATCTATAAAAGTGTATGTTACTTAGAACTCCGATATCGATGAGGTGATTTTTAAGAAATTTAAATAAATTAAAGTTTTGCGAATGCGGCCAGCAAAAACAGTTCAATACTTCTGTCACGTATTTATCACGTCTATATGAAAAACAATGTAAAAAATAGCCTTATAAAATATTCTTAAAACGTAACATGAATAGTATAAGTTTTAGTACAGTAGTTCGTATTTGGGCTTATTTTATAGGTAAAGAAAATGGTCAATACTATATTTGAAATGTAAAAAAAATAAAAATACTATAGTATAAGTTTATAAGTCATTTAAGTTACACCGTCAAACGTTGTTTTGATGTGTGTTTTTTGGAACATTTTTAGAGAAAATTGCTATCACAAAAAAAATAGGGGTTGATCATAGAGGTGAGAAATAGGTTATAATTTTTTTCTGAACCAAATATCTTTTTTAAAAAAAATCATATGATTAAAAAATATTTTTTGGGGGGGGAATATCTTAGCGGATATATATAAATAACGTGTCACGTTGTTTGTCCACTGAATGGATCTAAACTCTGACCGATTTCAAGCCGTTTCGAAATGTTGGTACTAACACCGTGACGCGATTTGATCTAACTTGAAAATATAGGTATAAAGCTAGCTGCCATCTCAACTTCTTTCTGCAATATTTTATTTTTTATTTTTCTTTTGTTAATTTATTTGATAGTCACAATTCTAACAGATGACGCTGTGTTAAACGTACCAAAGTTTCACAGAAGCTACAATTTAAAAATGAAAGTCCTTTCAGCCAGCTAAGGAAAGCATGAAAGTAGTCCCCATCGCCTGCTTCTACCTTTTCCTAATATATAAATAGTTTAACACTATCTATGACATTTTGTTATAACCTTATTGAATGTATTTTACAGCATATTCTGATTTATATGAAACTTGAAAATTTTCTGTTTGCATGTTGAAAAATTTTGATCTTAAGCCCGTCACAGACTTAGGTATAATATATATTAGTAATTTTATGGCTAGGCATATTACTTATTTTGCCTATACTAATTTTCGCAACTTTTGACCTCACTCAGCTTATATATTTTTGTGACGTCACCAAGCGATACCGTAATATACATTATTTCATATTTCTCTATATTATGGTATAGCAAGACATATTCCGACATATTTTGGGAATGTACCCAGCGTTTTCGATCCCCCACATTATTAAAATTTTTATGGAATAAATAAACAAAGAAAGTTTGTCCAGCCGTGTTGAATTAATTTTCTGCTTAGCTTAAACACACAGCCAGACGTTCAGAACATACTTGCGAAAATTTATATGTTATTATTATTATAAATGAAGCTAGAAATTACGATCTTGAACCAAAAATTGGGCAATTTCTAAACCGATAACTCGTGATACAAATTAAAAATTTTTAATGTTTCTCCTTTCAGCCAGCTGACCGGCAACAACATATAGAATACACCGTCGGTCGTTTCTGAAGAATTTTATTGTCTTAAAATATACGTATTGAATTGATAATCACTGGTATTTCGACATACGAACACTTTAATTCAATTAGGAACACTAGGTTGACATCAATTTTTACGGCAAAATTATTTTCTCAGTGTATGGAAACTTGCAAAATATTTAGTACGGTTTGAATAAATATGTGAGTCTTACACTCGTTCAATATCCTAACAACACGTTACAATAACGGCTGGTATTTTTGCGATAATATAAAAAACATAGTTTATTTAAAATATAGTATATTGTTTAGAAAATGTATCTTTATTGCAAGTATTACTTACTTAAAATTTTGAGGTATTTCGTAAAGATTTTCGTTTGTTTTTGTACCTGCGCAGAAGTCATGTTATTGGTATTATGCTACTCAGACTAGGAGTACCTACATGTGCGACGTTTTCTCCACCAAGTCAAAATTAACCAGGTTCGTGCCGATATCAATACAACCTACAACAGGCCGTCATTATTTAAACTGTTTTGTTTATAAAAATATCGGATGTTGGTAGTTAAAACGTCGCTTACATAAAACAGACAAAAACGTGTGAAAATTCAGTTTAATAACCTATTGTTACACACAACAAAGCAAGATCATGGCCAAAGTCAAATAAATCTTTTAATTTTTGATGATTATTGTTAAGAAAAATATGGAATTCTAGATAGGAATTAATATAAAGTTGGCTTCGGCATTAACACTGACCGCGAACAAAGACCCGTATTCCAAGACCTTAATCAAGCAATTTTAAGACCAATCAAGAATTGGTCTAATGCGATTATGAACAAAATTGGAGAGCACCTTTAATAATTTAACTCCGAAATCATACCGCGGGTTACGGTTGTGTTAACCACTTCACCACGAAGGCGGAAAAATATGGTGATATTTTTCAACTGCATTTTATATAACTTTGATTCGTTAATTTTTTGTCTGTACAAAAGCAATTCAATTATTACCTATTGAGACGTCAGAGGTGAACGAACTCGGCTTATAAGATTCGGATGACTAGCGATGTGAAGGTAGAATGAACAATATAATAAAACATATATTTACTATTAGAATTATTTAATTCTCTAATATCACGCGAAATTTGTCAACGAGAAAGGGAACGTAGTGTACTAAATATTAAACTAAAGGACAGAAATAAGAGGTAAAGCAAAAATTATTGATGGAATATCCCATTGCAAAAAACTTAAGTTGAAATGGCCAGGCGACATCGCTCGCACGAATAACGGCAGATAGACAAACAGGGTAACTAGGTGGAAAATACCAGGGAAAAGAAGAGGAGGAAGAGGTCGCCCTCTTGCACGGTGGGCTGATGAGAAGTTGGTGGGGAAGATTGGGAGATAAATGCTCAAGATAGAGAGAGATGGAGCTTGGGCTTCATTATTATTGTTCTTATTTAATTCCAAAGGAACTGATACATATTCTTCTTCTTAGCTTACGCGAGCACTTTACATTTCAATATTATATAAAAACGCGATTTTCTTACATTATTATTGATGTTTCGAGTTCTTTACGTTAAAGAAGACTAATTAACATACTTAATACTTATATGACTCAATTGTTAATGAATTGACGTATAACAGCTAACCGATCTCGACCTCTTAGCGGTGAATAACCCCGATTAATCCTTGATCCTATGTTACTAATCCTTTGGGATCATGGTGATTTTACACCTTACAATGCGAGATCGATCGAGACTTCTGAGATGTGATCGTGTCAGAAAGTGCTAAATAAAAATAGTGGATACTCATGCCAACTATGCTCTGACATGGGAATAAGATTTTACGCAAAGAAAAATACATCTGGTTTTTGTAGCACAAGTAACTTCTTCGCATCCGACACCATATGGCAAGATTTTACCCATTTACTAGCAAAAACTTAAAGAACGGCAAAACATTTGAAGCAGACATTGTTTATACTTAAATAAATTAAATATGAATATAAATATGCATCTATAATTATTGAGTTAATGCAAATCGTTTATTAATAGACAAATTGCCGTTACTCAAGCCGTTTCCTTTAGTACGATGACGTAGAAACGCTAAGGTCATTGACGAAACATTTCAAATAGTTTATTTTCACGTAATACACATTATTGTTTTTATACTTGTCATCAATGTATTGTGTTATTATTAGCAGTATGTCCCGGCATTTGACGTATATTTTTTTACGTTACATACAAATCGTTCGGCCCTCTTTATAATATACCTATAGATATAAATTACATACATATATAAATATATAGATTAAATAAAGTTCATATTTATTTTCACATCATTAAACAGACGTAAACATTT